CTTATGATCTTCACTTCAGATATATACTCCTTTATCCCTTGTTTAGATCCTCTGGAGACCCTCTTGACTGCAACATCCAAGTTGAGATCCTTCAAGAAACCCCGATAGACTGCTCCAAACCCTCCCTGACCAAGCTTCCCTTCTTCATTGAAGTTATTTGTTGCACGAACCAATTCTTTATAGGAGAACCTCTTTGGCCCGGCTCCCTTTTCAAATTCTTCATCAATGGCCAGATCAATGGCCCCATCGTCATCATCTTCGTCTCCACTCCTCTTCCTGCACAAAACGAACGAAATAACCATGATTAAGATACCTGCAGCAATCAGAGCACCTCCACCAACAACCAAGCCAACCACCAATCCTACGGCCTTGTTCTTCTTGCCTGTTTCCAAGCTTGAACTAAACTCCCAGGAGTAGATTGTATGCAATTCGCTGGACTCTCCCGTGGCAGCAGAAAACCCGACAGTAACTTGTTCTGGTAAGTAGTCTCTCAGGTCTACTACATAAGAAAGGCTCGCCTTGATCCCACTGGATGCTGGATCGTTGGGGTACGTTAAGGAAACACTAAGATTTGTTGACGTAGAATTATAGCTGATCCGAGCCTGAGCTAGTCTCCCGTCTTTCATGCTGCCCGGCCCCGGCCATGAAACATTTGTCACAGACACGATAGAGTTAATATCGATACCTATGTGGTCGTGACTTGGATCAAAATTATTTTTGAAGGTATCAAACTCCACGGCAACAATGGAGTAGTTCTCTGTTGAGTTGAATTCGAATTTTTTGTCAAAAAGACCAAGAGAGCGACCTGATGAGTTGGGTGGGAGCTTAGAACCTTCGGGAGCAAGAAAGAAGGCAAGGCCATCTGCACCAAAGGTCCTATTTTGAGACAACATGGTGAAGTTGAAATTAGTGGTGAAGTCGGTGAGCTTTCTTGTGGATTTGTCCCAGAGGTGCACCGGTTGCCAGTATTTAGCTCGCCCAACGGTAAAATAAGGGAGACCCTTGTCGAATTGATTTGGGGTCAGTTGGATGAGTTGGTCGGAGACATATGCGGAACCCTCGTACTGTATTTCACGCATGTTTGGGTTGAAACTGGAGAAGTTGAAGGATATTGGTGTTGCAGAGGGGATAACTAATAATAATAGTAGGACAAGCATATGAAACTGATCAGAAAGGTAATTTGGAGGTTCCACATAGAGGTGCCGAGAGTTGCAGAGAGCCATGCTTGAAAGGGTGGATGAGAATGAAAACCAGAGTCTGAAAACCAGAGGTTCCACATGGAGGTGCCGTGAGTTGCAGAGAGCCATGCTTGAAAGGGTGATCAGAAAGGTAATTTGGAGCCATTCTTTATATCTTTTTTTTTTAATTAATATTTAATTTCCTCCCTCCAAGACACCAACCAATACTTTTTCTATTAAACGTCAAGACACAGGAAGTTTCTGTAGAGCTTCTAATCAATTAAAATTGCAAGTTTGCCTTGTGGAAATTAAAGGACTCTGATCTATGTTCTGTGTTCTGTGGGGTCTATCAATAATTTTTGTTTATTGTTTATATGATAACGAATGGGAATCATTTAACAAGAAAAATGATTAAATAATAATTGACATGTGGCCATGCTCACGGCCCATTAGCTGGATGCTAAGAATCAATAGTTAGTTTAAAAGTGGTTTCATAGTTTGTACGATGGAGCCAACAAATTTAGAGGGGAGTAAGGGGCTGTTTGGTTCGTGGGAATAGGGGTCTAGAATTGGAAGAATAGAAAATTCCAAATTCGAGCCGGCGACTATTCAAAACTGTATATGGAAAATGATCGTTCCGTATTCGGTAATGGATTTAGCGTAGTCTCAATGACCATTGACCTGAGTCTTCGACGTTGGGTTAAGGTACACTAATAATTTATGGCTGATGTAGACCGAAATTATTTATAATTCCTACGTCAATGAGATTTTTCTAACGTACAAAATCGATGTGGAGACCGGATCTCTTCCTTACACCTGGCGCCTCACAAGCACATCCTATCATGTATTGGGAACATCTCCCTTATTTATTAGTTTTTATTCACGAGAGATGTTCCTAATGGACGGTGGATGTGCCTATACGTGACCCATTTGTGAGGAGCAGATCCCTTCACATGCATGTGGTGGTTGATAAAATCGGATTTATTCCTCACACCTCACATGCACATTCTACCATGCATTGGGAATGTCTCCCGTACTTCTTAATTATTATGAAGTGAGTTGTTCCCAATGCACGGTGGATGCACCTGTGAGACATCCATTTGTGAGCAGCAGATCCTGTCTCGTGGTCCACCAGTTTTGCGTCTTCCTCCTCACAGTTCCACCCTTCATTTGTTCTATACTAGTTTGAATGAAATTCTTTATATTCAAAATTTCAACTTGTGTATTTTCTTCATGTATGGGAACAAATAAAAAAATACTGTAATTGATTTGCTCTATCAAAAGTCAAAACCTTGGTTTTCAAAACTGGACCAGACCGAAAAAATCGGGAATCAATTAGGTGATCAGTTCCGTTTTACCACATAATCGTTATTTCGCCAAAAACTGTTGATTTAGTCAGAAAACCACTGACCCGGGAGGTCGAACCGTTTGAACCATCCAACGGTTTTAGCCATTTTTTATTTTTTTTATTTTTGTCAAAACGGACCGTTTGTTCAGTTCAAACGGTCGGGCTATTCAACCCAAAAACCGGACCCCTGATAAGAAATGCGAGATCTAGTCTGGTAATAGTAATGTACTAAAGAACTCCCACTAGGCTGTGATAAGAAGTAAGATCCTTGNCTGACCCGGGAGGTCGAACCGTTTGAACCATCCAACGGTTTTAGCCATTTTTTATTTTTTTTATTTTTGTCAAAACGGACCGTTTGTTCAGTTCAAACGGTCGGGCTATTCAACCCAAAAACCGGACCCCTGATAAGAAATGCGAGATCTAGTCTGGTAATAGTAATGTACTAAAGAACTCCCACTAGGCTGTGATAAGAAGTAAGATCCTTGAGTGGGTTTCCTTCTTGCTTGGAGAGCTGGTAACCATTAGGTAGAAGAGAGACAACTGGCATACAGCTATCCATATTGAAGCGCTTCAACAAATTGTCAACATATTTTGATTGAGAAAAATGAATAACATTAGTGGTAGATCTAAATTCAAGGCCCAAGAAATAGTGAAGTGGGCCTATATCTTTAACAACGAACTACTAATTATGAAGTGAAGAGATAACTAAGAAAATAGAGAACTATCTTCATTTCTAGTGACTAGAATATCATCAACATATATTAAAATGAGTATGAAGCAAAAGCCGAGAATTTAAATTACTAAAGAGAAGTTAAATTGTTTGAGGGAGATCCAAAATTTCAAGAATCTCTCTCCTCCCTCTCTTGTTTTTGATTTTGTCTTTTCCTCTTCCCACTCTTGAGTGCATGGGAGACTCCTTGTCCCACATTGCTTGGGAAAGGAGTGGAGGTAGAGTATATCTATAGCTTTGCTCTCTCTATGGGTAGGGATCCATAGGAGGGAAGCACTATAGATATCCCATGAGTGTGAGGGAGGTTGGGGGTGCTTTTCACATGCACACACCGAGCTGGGCTGGGTTTGGGTACGGGCACAGGTACATGATGCACTGAATCGGAATTTTGTTTTAACTAGATTAAACTTTTGAATTTTGAATTAAAACATATCTACTCAAATAGGTGTCTCTTCGAACAGGTGCATTGTTCTGAAGAGGCTCCTATATGAACTGACATATTTGTGTCCATTCGGGTCTAAGAACACTTTATAAAATGAGTGTTGGTTGACCCAATTTACACACAAAAAAATTTCAAGAATCTTCTCTTTGTTTTTTCTGAGCATCAATTCTTGTGGTTCATAGAGGTCTGGTAAGCATGGGAAAACATTTCTAGATAAATGAGATGGACCAATTGCTTAGTCATAAACTAAATGCATAGAGGAAGCTAGAGAAAAATCATTGCAGAAGCAAATTAAGTACAAATAGCTCATGGCCTCTAACTTCAATAAACAAGTAAAGCCTCAAAAATTCAACAAGGGTGACAAAGTACGAAAAACAATGCTCCATTGTCAAACAAGGTAAATCAACTGGAAAGTTTGCACCTAACTAGGTCGGACCTTACATCATCCAAGAAGCTCACCCAACAGGGTATTATGTACTAAAAGATGTAGCCACAGATGAACAAGATGAAACAGTGAGTGGTCACTAGTTGAAGTTGTATAATGAGTAATGATGTAAACATTGTCAAATTTGAATGTGAACTCTTGAATAAAACATGTTATGTTTCTTTTGTACATATCATCAATGTTGAATAAAGCATGTTATATTTCTTTTGTACATATCATCAATCTTGAATAAATTCTTCAAAGTTCTCTTTCACAACTGTGTTTATTATCTATGTTATTATCTATTCCCTAGTTTGCCAAGAAGTCCCTTTCAACCTTAGGTGCGATGCCATATTCCCTAGTCTACCAGGAAGGCCCTAACAACCTTAGGTGTGATGACATATTCCCTACTCCCCTAGGAAGGCCCTGACAACCCCAGGCGTAATGACATATTCCCTGGTCCGCCAAAAAGGCCCTAGTAACCCTAGTGATTACATAATCCTTGGTCCGCCAGGAAGGCCCTGGCAACCCCAGGTGCAATGACTTATTCCCAAGTCCGCCAAGAAGGCCCTGACAACCCCAGGCGCAATGACATATTCCCTGGTCTGCCAAGAAGGCCCTAGTAACCCTAGGTGTGATTACATATTCCTTGGTTTCCCTGGAAGGCCCTGGCAAACCCAAGTGCAATGACATATTCCCTAGTCCGCCAAGAAGACCCTGACAACCCAGGCACGACGACATATTCCTTGGTCGTCCAGGAAGGCCTTGGCAACCCCAGGCGTGATGAAATATTTCTTGGTCCGCCAAGAAGGCCTTGGCAACCCCAGGCACAGTGACATGTTCCTTGGTTAGCCAGGAAGGCCCTAGCAACCCCAGGCACGATGACACATTCCTTGGTCCGCCCAAGAGGGCACTAGCAACCCCAGGTGTGATGACAAATTCCTTGGTCTTCCAAGAAGGCCTTGGCAACCCAAAGTGCAATGAAATATTCCCTGGTTCACTCAAGAAGGACCTAGCAACCCCAGGCATGATGACATAAACCCTGGCAGCCCCAGAAAGGCCTTGGCAACCCCAAGTGCGATACTATATATACCTTGGCAACCCCAGGGAGGCCCTAGCAACCCCAAGTGGGATGATAGATCCAAACACTAAGCTTCCTAAGAAGTGATGACATATACCCTAGCAACCCAAGGAAGGTCCTAACAATACTAGGTGCGATGACAAAATACCGACACTTATCTATCTAAAATGCGATGATATATTCCCTGGTTCGCCCAAGAAGGCCCTAGCAACCACAGGTGCAATGACAAACCCTAATACTGAGCTTTCTAAGAAGCGATGGATTACCCTAGCAACCCAAGCATGATGACATTATCCCTAGTCCACCTAGGAAGGCCTTGGCAATCCCAAGTGCAATAATATATATACCTTGGCAACCCCAGGGAGGCCCTGGCAACACTAGGTGCAATGGTAGATCTAAACATTGGGCTTCCTAAGAAGTGGTGACATATACCCTAGCAACCCCATGAAGGCCGTGACAATACTAGGTGCGATGACAAAATCTCGACACTTATTTATCCAAAATGTGATTCCGTAGTCCGCCCAGGATGGCCCTGACAACCATAGGTTCGATGACAAGCCCTAATATGGAGATTTCTAGGAAGCGCTGAATTACCCTGGCAACCCCAAGCATGATGACATATTCCCTAGTCCGCCTAGGAAGGCCCTGGTAACCCCAGGCACAATGAGACATTCCCTGGCAACCCTAGGAAGGCCTTGGCAACCCCAAGCACGATGACATATTCTCTAGCAACTCTAGGAAGGCCTTGGCAACACCAAGTCTGATAACACTGAAGGGATGAGAGATCCATCATATGGATGGCCAAACCCTGCAGGTAGGTTGGGCGAAATTTCAAAAAATTTCTCTCTCTCCCATGTGGGAATCACATTCCTTATTTTAGAAAACTGCATTTTCAATGATCAACCTTGAACCCAAACCGAACCAGATCTGAAACCAAAAGGTAGGAGAGGGATATACCTGATACGAAGTAGTAGTAACCCCCAACGAAGGTGTTCATGCCCAAGGAGAATACCAAAGACTGCTTTCACTAAAGATGACACAACGTAGGGTGGAGCAGAATCATCAGGACGGCTCTTCAGCAAGAACCGAATTCTTCAGCAAGAA